TAAATAAATGTCAATCCAAGACCAAAAGATTTTCCACCATGCAAAAGTAAATTAAAGACCCGGAGAATATATATGACCAATATTTTTTTAAAAAAGTTGTTGCAGTTTTAGCCATGTCTACAGAGGTGGCTGCTTTCACTTAAGGGATGCAACTTCAATGTCATCTCCCAAAATCCAAAAGCAAGTATCATTATTGTATTTACAGGTAGGTATAAATAACAACAACAACATAAACAGTACATATTTATCACTATACAACACGTCATTTTATTTTATGACATGTAAGTCCTATACCCGGCTGACTTACCCTACATTTATATATATTTTTGAAATATAGGTTTATTCAGGTTTTCAACAAACAAATAATGCAGGTAGCTAAACGACATAAAAAGCCTGCAAAGAGCAACTTTTTAAAACGCAAGTGAAAAATGCATGATATGAAAACATGAGAACAACAAAAACATAATAATTCTAGCTGTGATGCTGTGAATTAGTGAGGCTGATAAGCTACATTGTCAACCTGACAGTATGTTGTATTCTAAAATCTATTATGTAACTGATGGGTTATTATCTCTGGACAAGTTTCACACCAGGAGGCGATCCCTGCTAGCATAATTTCAAAAGCCAAAAGCTTATAAACAAGATAAATTTCACTGCTCTGTTACCTCTATCTGTATCAAACCTCACTTCATCTGCCAGGTACCTGCAACTTGAGGTTCCCATAACAAATATATAAAAAACAAATGCATATATGTCTATTAAATATCAATTATAAAGGTGAATCAGCATTGTGGGATAATTGAGCTAGAGGGAACAAGAGCATACATTAATTTGTGTGATAAAAATGCTTATGTGGTGGATTTTTTAAAAATTACTTACTGTGAAATCCCATATATGCCCAGTCAAAAGTTGTCCAACGAACTACAGGGGTGCAATCTCAATATACTGGGTTTTTCTTTTGTTATTTCCCCCTCTGGTTTATTACAATGATCATTTTTGCATACTTGATATACATAATACTTTTAGCTATCTGTCTTTATTTTTATTTCACTGGAAAGCTCATGAGGATACTAGAACAAGATGAATAACCGGATTTATTTCTAAATGGCTAATTATTTATGAAGGGGCAATGCCCACTTCACAGGAAAAAAACATCATGACAGGCTGTGCATCAGACATGCAACATAATCGTGGATAAATGTTCCTGGACCTAGATCAAACTGTTTGTGTTTTAACCTCATCATCAACAGAAGCAACCAGTGATGCATTTAAAGCTAAAATTAACTTCTCTCTGTACACCACATCTAGGAAACAGGAACTCGACCAAACTGGGTCATTGCTAGCTAAGATTTACTACTGACAAACTAATGGAAAAACACAGCATATGAAATGATTGTGAATGTGACAGAGCTGAGCTCTTTCTTTCCTGATGAAGCACATTAAACTATCTGCTATTAAACGTTTATGCACCCTACTCCTACCAATATATTGTACTCCTGTGGAGCATAAGGCCTTCAGGTAAATGGATTCGATCCCTCCCATAAAAGATTAATACCTGTTTTCACAGAGGCTTAATCAATATTAAAGGCTGTCGTTCCATTGGAAATCACACCAATAAAAGCACCTAATTGTCTACTAGCACAAATGCTTCATCAAGCTTGAATGCATTCTAAACTTTTCACGCCCCTTGGTCAGCTTTGCTGATGACTTAAGAAATTGTATAGAAAAGCAAATGTTTTTGATCAAATTCTACCTTCTTACACTAGTACAGTAGTTAGATTATTCAAATGTGCCTTCAATTCTGTCTATATAATGAAATTTACAGATAATTAAATACAATGCCATGTTTTTAACTGTTTCGTTAAAGCAGAATTCTGATGAAAAAATTATGCAACATTAGTAAACTACACTATAACCTGTCTTTCCCATCCTATGACATGCTACCATGCTAAATACAATACAGTGGTACCTCAGTTTAAGAACAGCCCTGTTAATGAATTATTCAGTATATGAACTCCGCAAAACTGGAAGTTGTGTTCCGATTAGCAAACTTTACCTCGGTCCACGAATGGAAGCCGAATGGTGGAAGGGCACCGGTGGCGGGAGGCCTCATTAGGAAAAGAGCGCTTTGGCTTAAGAATGGCTTTGGTTTAAGAACAGAACAGATTAAGTTCATCAACTGAGGTACCACTGTATGAACAATTCACAGTATCGCTTAAATGAATAAATTCACTTAATCAAAGACAAAAGTATTTCTCCTGGTATAGACTAGTAGGTGTGGACTTGGTATTATACCAGATTTATATAATGTCTGATTTTATCAGTGCTTTCACACATCTCTTCAGATCAGGGGCAGGAAACTGGATCTGGACAGTGGGCTCCCCCACCCTATTGGAGGTCATTTTGGCTGGTGGCCGGTTACCAATTCAACATCAAAGGGAGCACACTTAGAGTGTGGTCCCGATTTCTCTTTTCTTTATTTCAGGTGAGGCTCAAACAAGCACAGGTGCAAGCTCTTGTCTCCCTTGCAATAGTACTATGGAACTCCTTTTTGACACCAGAACAGATTAGCTGAAGGCATCAGAAAAGCATAGCAGACATATACACTGCAGACCTGCCATGCCTCCCCAATGGCCCATGGCATGATCCTTAAACACACTTAATGGTCCATCACCTGAAGTCATAAGAACATAATATACATAAAAGTCTCCTGGATCAGGGCAATGGCCCATCTAGTCCAGCATCCTGTTCTCCCAATGGTTGAACAGTTGCTTGTGGGAAACCAGCAAACAGGATTCAAGCGCAAGAGCGCTCTCCCCTCCTGTGGTTTCCAGCAACTGGTATTCAGAAGCAGTGCTGTCCACAGGTACACTATAATTAATTGCCAATGAAAGCTGCTTGACCTTGTGAACATATTGTGTCCTGGGCACTCTTGCATTATACCTTTGTAACATGGTGAGCATCCCAGTTGGATAATAATTATAATTTTATAATTTTATTCCGTGCTTTTCTAGAAAAATAGGTGCTGGTACTCTCCATGAAGGTGTTACAGTAAGTGCCATACTTTTTAACAACAAAAAATAGGTGTCGTTACTGCATACCTTTGAGTACCCCCTTTAAAAAGCACATGTTTTATTATTTATACCCCACTCATCTGGCTGGGTTGCCACAGCCACTCGTAAAAACATAATAAAACATCAAACATTAAAAACTTCCCAATACAGGATGGCCTTCAGATGTCTTCTAAAAGTTGGATAGTTATTTACCTCCTTGACATCTGATGGGAGGGCATTCCACAGGGAGGGTGCCACTGCTGAGAAGGCCCTCTGCCTGGTTCCCTGCAGTGAGGGAACCTCCAGAAGGCCCTTGGAGCTGGACCTCAGTGTCTGGGCTGAATGATGGTGAGATGCTCCTCTAGCTTTACAGGGCCATGGCCATTTAGGGCTTTAAAGGCAGCCGCAACACTTTGAATTGGGCTCAGAAAGTGGGAATGTATATCTAGAGGAGTAATGAGCAGTGGCAATAATAATCATAATACCAAAACTTGGAAGATAGTTTTGTGGCTTCGGTAAGCAATCAGAAAGTTGAAAAAGGAGGGATGGCAGGAATAAATTATTATTCTCTAAAAGAGTGGAGCTACTAACATGAGTTTGATCAAACTGCGGGAGGCAGTGGAAGACAGGAGTGCCTGGCATGCTCTGGTCCAAGCGATCATGAAGAGTTGGACACGACTAAACAACAACAAAAGAGTGGAATGACTTTTATCATCACCACTTGTTCAGACTGCTTTTTAAGGGAAAGCGACAGTTTCTCTTCCCTGCTGAATTTAGACAGTTATTAAGTAAGGATGGGAATCCCTGCTCCACATCCCTTTACCATTTGTCCTTTTAATCAGTAACAACACAGCTTCATATCCTATACATATTGACAAATACTAGTTGCAGCAAGATACTGCTGTCAATGGGGGTGAGGGAGAAAAACAGCTTTATAAAACATCCATCTGGAAAGACAGTTCCAAAACAAACATGATACGTTGTGCAGAATAATTTCCATCATTCTATACCCTTTCACATCTTTAATTTACCCTCAGACACAATGTATTTCACATGGCTAAGTAAAGTGAGAGTGACTTCCCGGGCCTTAAGGCAGGGAAAGTTTCTCCACTTTCCCCATCCAGTAGGGATAATGACAGCAAGTGCACATTTTCAGTGCTCCATGTGGCAGGTACAAGGAAGGAGGTAGTTGTCCCTCATCTTCAGAACTGCATGGGGAGGTTGTTAGAGCACCCACTACTATTTCTCTCCATTTTTTCCTAGTTGCCTGAAACCATGTACAGCTGAATAGGCATCTCCAAGGAAGCTCTTACTTATCAGTGCTTGGGGACATCCTCACACAAGCAAAACTGATGAGTTACAAAAACATTCCCAACAGGGGTCAAAACACAAATGGCATTCCACTAATGTTACAACTGCTGCTCATCTAAATGAGCTGAAAAGACAGACTTCACACTCTGGATCTGTTAATGTGGTAATCATAGGTCTAAGCCTAAGTGGAGACATTTGTAACTTTAACTGGTCATTATGGAAGAATGAAAGGTCACATAAGTACAGGGTGCATTTAAATACAACCCTAAGGCTAAGATCAAGTAATCACAATGTACAAAAGAGTGAAACTTGCTTCAGAAGTGGACAAGCCTCTCTGGTTGCACTGTGATCACGTGTCTGTTAACTCCTATAAACAATTCTTTGTGATAACTAATACAGCAGCACTAATAATGAACATTAAGGAGAAATTTATTGCTTCTAGATAATAACATGTCTGAAGTGCAGCTTCTATACATGTTCTAAGTCAAAACGCTGCAAGGGAATAATTAAGTTACAACGTGAGCTTTGGGACAAGGTAGCAGTACCAATCTTGGCTGTACTGGGTTAAAATTCCACAGATTACACCTCTTGCTGGCAGAATTAAGGGATGCATCAATCTTAGGCTTCTTAAATATTCTGAGCAAAACTGAAGTCTTACAAGTTCCTAAAGGATTACCTGCTTTCCAGTGGCACATTACTGCCAAGGACCCAGCTGTCCTGCAGCTGGACCGACTCGGGTGTGGTTTGCAGCTCGGCGGGCAAAGCAGCCGGCGGGGCCGGACTCTGGTTCCTCCTATTTGTCAGTGAGTTTCTGTTAAGGGAGGTGATAGATGGGTGATGCTGTGTTGAATGCTGCTTGTGAGAAGGTGGCAAAGGTTGCAGGGTCGACTGGCCTTGGTTATTTGGAGGTTGCTCTGAGAAGAAAGAAAATTAAAGTTTGTTATATACACCATCCTCACCTTTACTAGATCTAAAGCAGAAACTGAAATGAAAGACCTTAATCCAATATATCTGCATGTTAGTCTATTGATTGTCTTCAATGACATTTTTCAAGTGTCAGTTTACCCTTGATAGACTAAGATCTAATTAATATACAACAGATGGTGTGGCTGCTTTTGGTTTTAATTTGTTTCAGGTTGTGTTTTCTTTCTTTTCCTTTTTTAAACTGGTTTATTAACACCTACAGAAAATAACAGTTAAGAGTGCCCTAACATGCCTTTAGAATTCAGGTTTTTTAAACAAACAAACCCTGAAATTAAATGGGTAATTTAAATAGAATACAAAGGTTTTTGAAATGCCTGTAATCCCTATAATTATTTAATGGATTTTTTAAAGCTTTATTTAACTGCAATAAATTATTGCAAGCTAGTTACTAAACAGCAGTAGACTAGTCTACTTTAGAGCATTTCAAATAAGGCAGATCTGCACTATGATCTGCTAATAGATGCTAAGTATTCTTTAGCAGAAGGTCACTCTGTGAAGCAGATGTTGCTTCATGGATATTTAACAGCCTGAATCACATCTGATTACAACGTCAGAAGACTCATATACTTAATGACCGTTACATCCATTAGAACACACACAGAACAGATTTTCCAATTTCACACTATGTGGTATAACTATGTTTTAGAGCAAGTCACAGGTGATCAGAGAAACTTGCCATCACAACAGTATATATATGTCATGGTTCCTAAGAAAGTGTATACATATTGTTTTTAAAGCAATAATGCCAATATTGCTTCTTTCAGCATGCTTTATATCATCCGTGGTTAATAAGGGGTGCTTTTCCACCTTCTGTACATCATAGAACAAATGGTAGATACTACAGATCCAGTTCCTAGCACATGTTTCTGAAGCTATACAAAGAATGTACATGGGTCAATTTCATCCTTTTTATTTCATTGGTAGTAGGTCGACTTGCATCTAATTACTTCATCTTATTGGACTTGTGAATTGGGCTGACAGAGACATGCAGTTTTGGCAATAGCATGGTTAAAAGTTTAACACAATCCACAAAGTTTTCTCAGACTTTGGTATAGAAAAAGCTTGACAAAATCATTTGAAGAAAATATTATTATTCAGGTAGCATACAATTAATCAGATTTGTCTTTACCAACACCAGTGGGTGTCAATGCATATGATTAGAATCACTATAGAAAGCTTTAAGGCATATTCACAGCTAGCTACAGGATAATTTAACATGCTAAAGCCCACAAAGGCTTTTTTTCAAGTCTGCTTAAAACTTTATCTGATTTAGATTAGAAGTTAATTATCAGCTGCTAGAGAAGTAACTTAGGTCATTATGTAAAAATACATATGAAAATGATTACTCAAGCTACAGGAAGTCCTATCTTAAGACTCTTTCTTTGCATAGGATAGTAAGTTTGTCTCCCGTTTGTACAACAATCATTTTCCCCCTGATGAAGTGGACACGAGTCCACAAACATTGATGCCTTAATAAATTTTGTTAGCCTTTAAGGTACACGTGACTTTAAGCTTTCTCTCTAGATTCCCCCCACCCCGGTGCAATTCTCATCTAATATCTAACATGGCTACCACAAGCCACTTTATTTCATGCAAACATCTGTTACTGGCACATCCTTTTAAATTCCATCTCTTCACTTCTACATCTCATTTACAAACTATCTCCGTAACAAACCACCTCTTCTTAACAAAAGAATAAAGGTCCCAAACCAGAAAATGGGAAAGAAAGTAACCCAGTTATCTGTGATTTGTGACAATATTGTAAGACTTAGTAAATTCACCATTTCATTTAGAATAAAGTTTAAACTCCCTTTGCTGCAATTCTATACAACTTACCTGGAAGTAAGTATAATTGAATTCAGCAAGCCTTACTTCTGAATAAATATGCATAGACTTGCATTATAAATGAATCTATGTTGGAACTAAGTTTACTAGTTTGTCCCCTACCTATGCATTTTAATACATTCAGGTAATCAATAAATCTGGTCACTATACTTCCTATCTAGTTCTCCACCAGCCTCCTTGATTCACAGCTCATTTTGCTGTTGTTGCTTTTATGCAAGGCCTACCCACTTACTATTTTTTTAAAGAAACCAACTGAGAATAAGTACCATACACCTCTTTCCCTTAAAAGCTAAAATCTTTGCCAACTGTGAAACATAACTAAGGGTGAGTAATGTTTACTTTCACACACTTTTGGTTGAACTTAATTTATTGTATACATAAGTACAGAAATATCTGTTGGGAAGCACCCAAGATTTAGCAAAGTGTCAATTGAGGGAAGTTTATAGGGAGTCAGATCCTTATTCTAGAGGGGATCAAATTGCCAATATCCTCTCTTAAATACCCATTCATTGAATATACTCATTGTCCACTTAAGGGGGAGGAAGAGACTTGGTAATTTTACACTCATGGGAGATGGACAGAGGAACTAAAAGACTAACAGGAAGAATAAGTGTCATTCTGGTACCCAATAAACTAGACAGGCTCTCCTGTGAACTGCCCTGACACCTGTGGGTATAGGGTGGTATACTACTACTACTACTACTACTACTATTATTATTATTATTATTATTATTATTATTATTAAAAGAAACTAGTTTGGATGCAACCCTAAATCCTCATTTAGCATTAGTGGACTGAGTCTGAGTCTTAGGCTTGAGTGACCTCCCCTCTCTTTCTTTACCATGCACCATAGGAAATAATTGGAAGCATCTGCTTCAGTCTTTCATCTAGCTGTAATTTGTCATAAGAGTCAGTGCAGAAAAATTGTGGTCAATTTAAACTATAGTTTACGGAAACAAACAAAGGTTGAACTTTGATTTCTGATTCTGGCCTATTTCAGTAACAGCATCCAAAACAGGTCAGGAGGTTGTAAATTAGATGATATATGCTTGAGAGCAGGCCCGAGTATAGCTGGGGAAAGGGGTTCCCTTCTTTAAAGATAATTTTAGTTTAATGTTATGAAATCCATAATTCTCACAAATTTAGGTTACTCATTCAGCCAGGCTTCTTCTTATTTCCTTAAAGATGGTGATGGTAATCCTAGACGACTGGCAACGTCAACATAAGCAGTTTAATGATTTGAGTCTAAGGTGGCCAATTATGGCGCCTTTCATAACCATGTGGCAGACAAATACTCAAGAGGTGCAGTTTCTCCTGTCACACTACTGCAATGATGAAGGAAGCCACACCTGTCAAGCATATCCATTCTATACAGCTATTAAAGGCACCGGAACACATTTCAAAGTCAGGTGTTGGCAATCCTAATTGATACATAGGAAGGAGGATTCTTTTCAGACTTAGTGAAATGTCAGTCAGCTGGTGAGTAATTCTAATGGGGCTGCAGCCAAAAGCATCCCAGCTTTCTGGCTGACAGCTCCATTTTGATGCTAAGCCTGAGCGAAAAGAAAGAAGACATCGAGCCTGAAGGCTATAAAGGCAGCAGCTACAATAACTATTTTGGAAAGAGGCAGAAATTCAAGAAAATAAAATAATGTAGAAGCATGCAGCTACATTAGTTTATCTAATATACGGAAGGAAAGATTATTTATGCAGTCAAATGATAAAATACAGCACATTGTTTTACCATGTATTGCTTGGCTAGTCCTGACTGATCTCATTACATAATAATTGAGATATAAGCAAAGAAAACATAAAAAAGGGTGCTTTCCTGTGTAAATTGTCTTCATTAAATAAACATACAAAATGATGCATGCTATGAAGACTTGAAGTGAACTGCTTGGGAATGGTCTGTCTAAAATATTCTGATTTGTTTTAAACACCCATCTACACAGTTGTTTATCTAAGAGAAAAAACTACTGGAAGTATTTTCCACTTGAGCAGTAAAATGATAATGGTTAGTTTCTCTTTTTAGCTTTCCATCAAAACCCCTTTTCAAAAACCTACATGTAATTGTTATTATGAATTTAAGCAGGATACAGCATAAAACAAACATGTGAAAGATTGAGCGGCAGGATGACAGAAAAATTAAAATGGTTCAATACACAGAATTAATAACACTTTAATATTTTGTAATTTCTAATCTTAGTTATTAAAGAATGGAAAAGTTGTCCACTCATCTCCACTTTCAGACTGAGGGAGCTGGTGTTTGTTTGCAGACAGCTTTCTGGGTCACGTGGCCAGCATGACTAAACCACTTCTGGTGCAGGGAACAGCATGATGCATGCCAGAGCGCACAGAAACACCATTTACCTTCCTGCCACAGCAGTACCTATTTATCTACTCACACTGGTATGCCTTTACTATCCCATAATGTACTAGTTACATGTACTGGTTACATAAAAGTTGGATAGCTAAGACTTGTCAGTTAGCCACTCATATAAAATAGTGATTTTTCATTTGATAAAAACAGTACACCGGTCACAGGATTTGGTATTAAAGAAAACTAAGCTACTTTAACAAACAAAATACAAAAATGTGTGTGAAATATCAGCACCTCCCAAAGAATAATTAGGATTAGGATTTCCCTATGATCAAGAATGCTCTAGAACACGCATTGTTTGAATTGTCTTGTATGGCTTCAGTTTATTAATTTAACTAGACATGGATCTCACCATAGGGTTGTATGGGGTGTTAGGGGAGGGGTAGTACCTCTGGTGGAGGACATGCCATGCTCCTTCTTGTGTAGTTTGTCCATCTTTGGTCCCCACCCTGCACTCAGCTCTTACCTGTGCCTCTTAGAAGCTGTCAGTATGTGACACTGGCCACATCCCGGGAAACGGCTTTGACTGCCCGGCTAAACCAGGTGAGGGTACCCAATGGGTCTCCAACTCTTAATGAGTTAGAGACTTCACCTGCATGCAAAGAAAGGCTCTAGCAGATTGAGTAGACGAGACCAATAGTGGGTCTAATGGTCAAGGAGGTGGTTTCTGCACATGCTGTAGAGGAAAATGAGGGGCAGATGGAG